ATTCATTCTTCTTTTGACTCTACTGCATCAAAAATTTCTTGAACTTTATTTAATATTTGACTTCTAGAATCAGTTAATCCAGCTTGTTGAAAAGCAGATGTAGACGTAGGTATTGAAATTTGCAGTGGTATTGAGAAGAAATCAACTGCAGTTGGATTCATCCAAATTCCATCATTATTATATGTAAATTCAAACTTATCATATATGGTATAATAATTTGAATCTCTTGTCTTAAATCCATCTGGATCAATAATTGCTATAGCCCCTGGCTTGCTGGAATCAATATAAAGCTGCAGAGGATATTTAACAGATAAATAAACCCTTGCTGAATACATTTGTGTAAGATTGAATTCATAATTACCATCTTGATTCCTTGATAAATCTGTAAGTTTATATGAATAATCTAAAGAATTTGTTTCTGCACTTACAGTCTTACAAATACCAATATTATTTTCAATTTTCACTAAACATTGTTTCTTTTCATTATTAGTAGCTTTTATAATTATAAATACATCTTTATCATCTACAATTTGTGCATTATTAATAAACTCAATTGGAAATGTTGGTGAATTAGTCATTTTACTGCACCCCAGTTATCAGTTAATTATATTAACGATATTATAATGCAAATAATATTGTCAAGACTTAAATTATAAGTTGCAAAGAAGCAATATTACCCCAAATTTTTGATATACTACTATAAACTTTGATATCACCTTAATATTTAAAATTGGTCTCCCTCTACATAGTCCTCAAAAACATAACTACTATTTAGTTTTAGTATATGCTCTTTATTCTATTCAATTCACTGCATTCAACTTTCACAAATTTATGTAAAATTTAATTCATAGTGACCATTTTGATTTCTTGATAAATATGTAAGTCTATATGAACAATCTAAAGAATATATTCCCACAGTTACAGTTTAAAAAACTCTAATATCATTTTTAATTTCGACTAAATATTAATCCTCCTTGTATTAATAACTTTTATAATTAAAAATATGTCATCAGATCTTCTAATTTAAGTATTATTAAACAATTTAATTGTGAATGCTAGTGCATTAGTCATTTACTTAACTAGCCTCATACATGCTAAAGCTTAATATTAACCTGAGCTGCATATAAGAATTGCTCTATAAAGAGCTACAATGAGCATATACAGCAATATTTAGTACAGTTAGAAACAACGATATAGTCATTGCGAGGGTACTCTATAAGCATCCATGGCAATCCAGAAAAGCATCAACAAATATAAATGCGATAATAGTTATGGGTCACCACAGTCGTGCTAAAGCTCTCCTTCGTGATGACTGTTGAGAGGCATTCTAAATGATTACAAGATTTGCTATAAATTTCTTATTTCTTATCTCCAGTTCGAGTTAATATTAGTTATTTTTTAATTAATTTCCTTAAAAATCTTGACCAGCGCTTGCTAAAACACTCTTAGCATTAGTATCACCTATCTTAGCAGCTTTAACCAGATAATCAAAAGCGATATCATAATCTTTTTTAATTCCGTTTGCACCTTCTTTATATAATAATACTTAAATTATAATATGCATCTGAATGTCCTAAATCACCTGAAAGATTGTAATATTTTATTACTTTATTAATATCTTTCTTTACTCCAATACCATATCTATAGCACCTACCTATATTATATAAGCCATACATATTTTTTAATTCCGCAGCTTTTTTATAGTTGAAAAATGCTTTTACATAATTTTTTTTAACACCTTCACCATCTTCATATGCTATACCTAAATAATTATAGGCTTCTGACAATCCTAATTCAGCAGCTTTTTCAAAATATTCTACAGCTTTTTTATAATCTTTATTCACTACATCACCATCATAGTAAAACGTTCCTACTGAATATAGACCTTTTCTCCTCACTTCTTTATCTTTTACCTCTGAAGCTTTCTTAAATAATTCGAATGATTTTTCATAATCCTTCTTATCATCATAAAGTACAGCCAGATAGTATATAGAATCTTCATTTCCTAATTCTATAGCTTTTTTATAATACTCTATAGCTTTTCCATCATCTTTTTTAAAATCACCCAATCCCTGTTCATAGCATAATGCCAAATTATCATATGATATTGAGCTACCACCATTATCTACTGCCTTCTTAAACATCAAACATGCAGTATTTAAGTTTTTCTT